CAACCTGAGTCAGGGAGAGTGGGAGAGGACTACAAAATATTGACTGTGACTGCAGTACCACTTTTGGCCAGATTTTTACATATTGTTCCTTTAACATAATCACATTAACCAAGGCATGGCTCAGATCAAGTTTATTATTGGCTCAATGCTGTCCCATATTCCGCATAGATTCAGAAAAGAAAAGTACAACTGTTGAAGAGTCTGGGGAGAGCAATGGTGTCTCTGGGGTAAGAGATTATAAATGATTCAAAAATGCATCATTCATCCAAATCAACTGTGAGTCCGTAAATTCCAAGGGAACACAACAATAACATGTTGTAAAAAGTCCACTTATACTATATGTCTGATTTGCGAATTTTGGTAATGGCCTTCACGTGGCTGCCGGTAGCTCTGTGGTCGACACTGGCCCCGGCACTGGGTGGCATCCCCACAGACCTGCTACATATGGAGGCTCTTTGTTGTGGCGGGGGCATAGTTGGCGTCAACGCGGCTGTTTCACCACATCCCAGAGCAGTCGCACGCACACCCCATCTCGTCACACCCTGCCCTTACACACACACACACGCAAACACAAACATGGGTTAAACACTGATGTGATGCATGAGTGAGGAGGATGGATCGGTTGCTTTAGAGCTCCAGAATTACATCGCCAAGTATTTATAGCAAGCAGATCAACAAACCCATTTTCCGACGCATTTATGTCGTGGCATGCAAGTTTGTAAACAAGTGCTGCTAACGTGATCGCAGATAAGGAAGTACCGGTTGATAATATTATATATCCATGCAGCAGCTTCGTGAGCAGATACTCCTGTATGAGTTTAGTAAATCTAACTCAGTGCGTTAGATTTACTAAACTCATGCGGCTGAAAGTTAGTGAATGTGCGTCCAAGACAGTTATAGATGTCACACGGTGCTGTCCCCCAGGACGTCAGGCATTGGTTGGAACTCGTTAGGAAAGGAGCTTGTTACAACAGTGAGACAACATCGATAATGCGACACAACCAGACTCAAATCAGTCGGACCACTGTCTTTAGGTTTTTCTCTCCGAAATTATAGATCAAATATCCCCATGGGTTTCCCTATGCACAGAAATGCATCTGCTAGTAATCGTACTGGACAACACCATAAAATAGTGTGAATGACAGAATGACAGGCATTTAATGTCACAATCTCCCAAATCATATGTTGCATTCTTCAAATTGAAAGCTATAAAGGCCTTAAATTGCTCTATATCCACATTGTCTGAATAGACCCTTTCCTGAATCTTGCCTCTGGAGAGTGTAGTGGGCAGCGTGGTGGTAGTGGCATGACTTTTCCTTCTCACACACAGATTTACAGTCTCATTAGCACAGAGCCGGGATTATCCCACTAAATCTACTGGATCTGTTTCACATCTACAACACTGGCAAAGCAAACAAGGAGGTCAGCAATACAGCAAACAAACAGCGTTACAGTATCGAATCTATATTAATCTTGTCCATCCGTAAAAAATACATTGCAATCTTACATTAGAATGTAGGTTCATGGAGCTGAAGAGAAGGACTTGAAAGACATGTTATGTTTGGCTCAAATACACTATGTTTGGCTCAAATTTATCAAACATATTTAAGTGTATCGAGTAATAAAAAATGATATTGAGCGGTCAAAGGAAAACTCATCATGATGTTGTTCTTAAGTTGCCCAACTTTAGGTCGAACAATTGTGGAATATTTTAGGTACGCCACCCTCTGATATCACATGGTTATGAAAAGGATGTTCTAGGTCAAACTCTAACTTTATGAGGTTTATAGAACAAATACAATGCATTATTAGAGTTAATTTTATTTTCTTTGGCATTTAGTGCAACGTCGTTCCTCCCAGAGTTGTTAGCCTTATCTACACCAATGACAATGACCTCTTAGACAAATCAGAAAAAAAAAACGTACTTCAAACCTGTTACGCAAAGACGAGCCATCATCATATTTGTAGTCTTGGTGTTATGTCTGCATTTGTTTTGTTACTAAGGATTTGTGCGTACTGACCCTTTAAGAGCTGCTCCCGGCACACGTGCACTGGCACTAGTATTTTCACTTTTGATATGCAGAATAATTTGCATTAATCTGCACCCTGAGACGGTTGTGGCGCTTATTTCTGAACATTTGGACAACTTTAGTTTAGGGCTACTTGGACATGCAGCAAAGTAGGATTGAATTGGCCCTTGTTGCAACTTTCCGACGACAGGCTTTGCACGTTGAAATTCCATCAGCGACACTTTGTGCTCATCTTTTGGATACCTAAAGTGATCCCACACTGCTGACTTAAAGCTGCACTAACTGACTTTATTTTTGTATTCATTACAAAAATGCTATCCATGTAGTGCATTGGGATATACGTCCTTTTGAAGAAAAAGTAGCGCAGATTTGTGCTGCCGTGACATTATATTTTAGATCGACTTTTGATGAAACAAGGAAGAGATGTGTTTCGGGTCTCTGATTGTGACCAATCACAGCGGACCACTGGCCCCCACTTTTGTGAAAAATCTACAGGTCTGTTAGCATAGACGGCTGAGTTAGCACAACAAGCGGCGGAGCTAACCTGAAGCTTCCTCGTCTTCGTCACCGGTTACTGCTTACACAGCAAGACAGCCATCCAAAAGAAAGTCTTGTTACTCCGCGCTTCACGGTTCTATCGTTCTATGGTCACGCCAGCCACGTGCAAATCCATGTCCATGAATTTATCCATATTGGGAGATGCTAGCTCCGTCCCAACAGTGGGTGTGTGTGGGGGCGATAGCTTCGTGGGCGCGGGGAGGGGAGCAGAAAGAGAGAGGCCAGCGAGTCCGCGGCTTCAAAATCCCAAAGTCAGTTAGTGCAGCTTTAAGTTGTTTTTTCAGTGGACACACTGGGGGAGCTTGTCCTGCAATCTTCAATTTACCGGTGAGTCTGCGCTGCTCTGTGTGTGCAGCGTACCGCACCTCGCGTGATAATTTTCCGTATCAGTAGTAAACCGTGGTATCTAAAATCCTTACGGTTAACCTATGACGGGCTTTTATAATCGCGAATACCATAAAGCCGGTTAATCTCGGCAACCCTAGATGAGCAGTTTCCGAAAATGTAAAAGTGTGGCCTCGAGCTTAGTTTGGGGAAATTCGTTCTGTCATAAGACGTTATTGATAACTGCATGCCTTCTATTAGATTGCAACTGAGTCTTTTTCCCACTAGATTTTTATTTATTCAAGTTTTTCCTTACTGATGCAGGAGGGTCTATGGACAGTGGTGATGATCCAGGACACTCAACATTCAACAATTATGGACTTTATCAACATTTACGGACCTAGGTCATCTGCCCTTTTTGGACAAATGGCTCTATGTGTTTTTTAATCAATGCATTTCTTGTGTTTGAACTGTTTGATTCTCTGATCTATGTTGGTGAATTTAACGGTTTTGTAAAGTCCTCCGAGATAACTACTGATGTGATTTAGGGTTATACAAGAATACATTGAATTGAATGTTGGATATACTGTAGATCTAGATTTTGCAGAATGTATGTAAATGTATGAATGAATGATCTTGTATCGAACAGTCTTATTGCATTTGTCACTTTCTACTGAAAAATGTGTTTCAACTTACAAAACATGAACATGAGTAAATGAGATAACAGTGTAACAGTGAAAACAATATAAAATCACCCTACACTTTGATTTTGCATATGCTCCATTTAAATGTGGAAGGTTTCGTGATTATGAATACCTCTCCAGCTTTCCCAAAACAAATTGAGTTTTTATGCGTTGTACCGTAGCGATCGGCTCGTCTGCTCGCCATATGCCTCGCTAAGCATTTGCTGTGGAATGACTTGCTGCACGCACACCTTTTGGAATCCGGCATTTTCCGTGAGGCCGCCTCTCCCTTGACACACGTGGCCTTTATATTAAGCACAGACAGGGGAAATGATCGGGCAGCGGTGTGCGTGTGGAAAAAAGCGTCTCTTTCCTATAAACTCTTTGTCAGTTCCCACACTCCTGAGTAATCTGCCCTTCTCCTGATGATGTCACTGTGCATCATGCAATGCATGCCACCTATTTTGGGATACCTGGCCTGTGGAGGAGTGCCAAACCACCACTTCCTCTGTGTGGGTGCGAGAAGCGGGGAGGGGGCTAAGGAGATGGGGCTCAATATGGAGGGGACAATAGGTTGTAATAAATAGTGCAGCAAGATTATTCACAATGTTAGTGGACTGACTCAATTAGAAAATTAGCAAAGTGCCAAGCATTAGCTATGCATACAATGCCAAGAAATATGCTAAACTATCTTCAAAGATCTTGACTCTAGTATAATATGACTCTTTATATGAAATATGAAACCTAACTTTAAACCATCAAATTTCCAGCTCTGGCCTGACCAAGAGCATCCGCACCTGGAGATGCGACCCCTTGTGCTACATTGCGGCTGTTACTGCTCCTGGTACTAGTGGCCAATTGCCCGACAGGGGATGAATAAAGTGTACCATAACTCAAACTTAGTTGTTTAGATGAGCAATGAGAAAAAAAGTAATTCTCCCGAAAGCTGACTTGATATTTCAGTGAAGGAAATGTAATGCAGAGCTGTTTTTTGTTAGCAAAACAAAGCTTGTTCCTCACTATTGTCATCCATTTCAGCTGTATTAACAGAAAAGGTTAAAGCAAACTTTCAAAGTCAGTCTCCTAAGGTGCATCCAGGGAAACACCTTATGATGGACTACGTCAAGTTTATAATCCACGTGGAGCAATACTCTTCATCTGACCAGGCGATATAAGAGTCAAAATGACAAACTTTGCCCGTAGTGTTCACACTTACCACATTCCGACAAAAATACTAGGTTAAAAGGCGGGTTAAATGGTGAGTTGTTTCAACCCACAAGCCCTCGTCGCTCCATGTGTAAGAGGCGACCCATGATTTTCGCAGTAAAAATGAGACTAACAAATATGACATTTCCAGGGTGGTGTTCTGTCTAATGCTTGATGTGTAGCTGTTGCGCACACTCACCAGTTTGTCTTTGAGACGCTCCCCCCGGATGTGGAACTCCAGAGCCGAGGGGCTGGGGGTGGTGCTGGGGGTAGGGCTCGGGCTGCAGGGGCTGAGGTTGGCACTGCTCCCCCCTCCGCTGCTGCCTCCGCTGTGGCTGCTGCAGCTGTCATCCCGCTGGCTCACCTTGTAGACGGTGACGCAGCTGAGGCCCCCGCCCCCCAGGGGGAGCCACCCGCCGCTGGAGTCGTCCCGAGTCATGACCACTGCTCTCACACGCGCATAACTGTCACTGTGGAGAGAGAGGAGGGAGAGGTTAGGGCTGCTTTGGAATTAATGCACTGATGGTAGAATATCTTTAATATTATCTTTGAAATGGCATGTTAAGACCACACTGCAGAACATGGGAGATAGATAAGTTCATTGTTTTAAACCAACTCACAATATTGTTCCTCATCAAAAAGACCTGGATTTTTTTCTATTTCCATTCACACTACTATCAGGAACATCTGACACAAACACATCCCATGCTTTTAGTCCAAATGCCATGCTTAATGGCAGGATCTAATTCGCTACCACCAGAACTTTTGCAAGTGACCTTGTAGTGCACATGGTCTCTAAGACCAATTGTTTGGGACCACAATTGATCCTGAGCACTGTAGACAAAATCGTGAGTTAGGTCACTGCAAAGTCAAATTCCCAAAAATATGCACTTTTTCCAAATAAAAAGTTGCATAATGCATCTTAAAGTGATTGTCTGTCTAACTGTTAATCTGAAAACACATTATACATATACAATATTAATACACATGCACAAAGGTTTTGAGAATTATTTGTTAACGTTTTCATGAAAAAAATAATGTTTTTATGCACAAAAAAGCGATCGCGGCAAACCCGGAACAAGCTATTATCATTAATTGTAAATTATAGGACACATCTGCAGAGGATCTAATTATGGATATAGGTTCAGTATATAAATGATTATGGATATAGGTTCAGTATATAAACGATTATGGATATAGGTTCAGTATATAAATGATTATGGATATAGGTTCAGTATATAAATGATTATGGATATAGGTTCAGTATATAAATGATTATGGATATAGGTTCAGTATATAAATGATTATGGATATAGGTTCAGTATATAAACGATTATGGATATAGGTTCAGTATATAAACGATTATGGATATAGGTTCAGTATATAAACGATTATGGATATAGGTTCAGTATATAAATGATTATGGATATAGGTTCAGTATATAAATGATTATGGATATAGGTTCAGTATATAAATGATTATGGATATAGGTTCAGTATATAAACGATTATGGATATAGGTTCAGTATATAAATGATTATGGATATAGGTTCAGTATATAAACGATTATGGATATAGGTTCAGTATATAAATGATTATGGATATAGGTTCAGTATATAAATGATTATGGATATAGGTTCAGTATATAAATGATTATGGATATAGGTTCAGTATATAAACGGGTAACTCAGCGCAGATGTTCAGAATTCTTTGTTCAGTTTTCATGTAGTTCCAGAGCCAAATAGAGGCTTGATTCGGAGGCTCCGCAAAAACAAAAAACTGAGCATGCGCGCAGCTACGAGCATCAGCGCTGATGATTGACAGCCCTTGGTAGGGCTGGGCGATTAATCGATTTTAATCATTAATTCGAGTTTTACGTTTAGGGCGATTCCTTTTTTAAAAATTTGATTTTTATTTTCTCCAGCGCAGAACTACAGCGCTAACGCGCTAACCGCGGGTCTATGGTGTTGAGCAGTCATTTTGAAGCTAACCTAATGCTAACAGTCTCCCTCTGGCCTGACGCTCGCTCTCACAGTTGGTGCTGTTGTAATAACACTTCAAACGTTCAAGAATCACACTTTATTTAATCGCCAAAACACACACACACACACACACACACACACGCACGCAGGCTCCGGTCGCTATGTTCGTACGCCATGTTTGTACGCCACATCTTTCACGCTCTCTCACGCTCGTTATTCCAAAGCGCACTCCCGTGTCCGTGGCGCGCACACTCCCGTGTCCCACTGAGCCGCTGCACTTTGGGGAAAGACACGTCTCACACATTGCTCTCATTGCTCTGATACAAACAACGTGTTCCCCGCTGTCTGCTAGCTACAGTAGCTGCTACAGTAGCTGTTAGCTACAGTAGCTGCTACAGTAGCTGTTAGCTACAGTAGCTGCTACAGTAGCTGTTAGCTACAGCATCAGAATGTAAACAGGAAGCTCGCACAATGCGGGAGTCACTGAAGTTAGTATTAGCGCCACCAGCTGGACCGAGCGTTGTACTACAGCACAGTTACTCAGGCACAGTTGAAAGAACAAGCATGAAAACCCGAGGAGGCTTTTGGAAAAGACTGTCTGTTACAACATTTCTATTTTGAGTAATCAGTTTTAAAAATGTGATATTTCATGTAAATAATGCATGTGTTTAATAGGATTGATATATTTGCGATGGGCCTTGTTTGTGTGATTTAAGTTATTTTGAAGGTGCATAGTGTCATTGTAAGTGACGTTATTTATAAAACTGTTAAGCTACATTTTCACTGTTTACAATGGCAGAGCCATCTCGTTTACAAGCATGTTTTAAGGCTTAATTCCTGTTACACTTATGCTCCATGGGGATTTAGATTAAACTGCATAAAGGAAAATCTATTTCTTTGTCAGTTGTAGTTTGTTTTTAAATAGAAAAAAATAAATCGATTAAAATCAAAAATCGGATTTGGTGTGAAAAAATTGGAGATTTTTTTTTTTTTGCCATATCGCCCAGCCCTAGCCCTTGGCATCACTTGATTGGTTAACGTGGACGGCATTGTGGATTCTGAGCTATAGCTAAGAGAAGGGAAGGTGGGACTTACCCGTAATATTAGAATTAATAAAATAACTTATTTTATATCAACTTTTAAGGCCAGGAGGTCAATTTAATCCAATTCTTAAAATGTGTAATACATTTAGAGTTCCAGACTATCACTTTAAAGAAACATGTTCTAATTCCAAAGTACATATTGGCAAGATCATGTTTAAGGAACAAGCATTCTTTTGAAAAAGGCTGAAAAGATCATGTTAAAAAAGAACCGTTGCTAAAAGCATTGTGACACATTGTCCCTCGTAAATACATAATTTGTTTCCATGGAAACAAGAAGGCGGGTAAAAGTCGGTTTTGAAGAGACTGCTCATAATGATTCAGTGCAATAAACACGACCAAAATGGAAAAAAAAAAACATAAGAAATGTCCTGTTAATGAATTCACACTAGGCACCCTTAACGCTGGAGTCACTGCCACTCAAGTTTTCATACTATAGAAGAGTGTCTAAAAATAGAGCATGTGGTGAATGGATGGGGTTTGTTGTGGCCCACTGCTGATCCCCGGTGTATGATTAACCGCGGTCAAAGGCCAACTGACCATGTGGCTGTACAGCTGATTCACAGGCCCCATATCACGCACGAGACGTCTGATAACAGGACCTCCGAAAGCCTGACCTCATGTGTTGGGGCCTTGTGTCCTCCTCTGGTCAGGAATGTTCCACAGTGTTATACGAACAGTAACATCCATGGAGTCTAAAATACTGACCAAAGTATAACGTGTTTTTGAGTCTCCCACTCAAAGGTAAACATGGTGTTTAAGCAGCAATACGTAACTTTGTGAAAGTATATAATCCCAGACATAAAACTATGGAAAAAACAGTTTAATCATGCTATGGAACGTTCCGGGACAATTGTGAGTCCTTTTTGTGGAAATTTAATCCCACTCACATAGCACATATTTTTATTATTTTTTTCAGAGCTTTGAAAGAACATGCTATGATATTAGTCTATGTTCGACAAAAAATTGCATCCTGGGGTTTGAATGTTGTTTAATTATTTTGAATGTACATGGCAATGTTGTTCAATGACAAAATTGCAATTTGTTTAAAAAACAAATAATGCAATACTGAAGTGTCTTTTCAAGACATTTTTTTATTATTTAATTTTTTTGTTTTGTGCCCAGTGTACAAACACATGTACAACATGAAAAAGGTTACATACAATTAAAGCATAATTACAAAATAAAACAACCCCTTTGCCTCACACCACTCTGCAGCCTGTTGTGTCTACCCTCCCGCTTGAGTGCAATGACTGCGATTAGATAACAGCTCTGGACAGGCCCACCGGAAACACCAAAGGTCAGAGAGTGCTGAGGCCAGCGTTTAGCACACTATGTTGGTAACATATTAAAGACAGTGCGACCCACAGCGCATCCATAGGCCAATGTTTGCAGACGTGAGGCCTGGCACTACCCTTCCACGAGGAGAAGATAGCACTCCCCGACTGCATGCACCCTTACATCTCCACACGTTCTAACCTTTGCTCTCAGCTTTCCACACCCATGGCAAACTGCGGTGCCCACGGTATTGGTTAGTAATTAATCTCAGACTCGGAAAGAACCAAGTGAGGGCCATTTCTTGCACATGTAAAAACGCAAAGCTGGGCTACCCGACATTCGTAACTTTACAATGGAACTATCTGATCAAATCCATGTATCTTGTTCCTGGCTCTAAAACAGCTTGGTTCTATTAGTATATTTTTGGCCTCTGGCACACTTTAGATCAGCTAGTTCAGGCAGAAAACTGAAAAATAGAGGACCAACCTCACTCAACCAATCAGCTCAAATTGTCAAAAAGTATACAAAAGTATAAGTACTTAAAAGTGTTCAAAAGATCATGTGTTTTATAAATATAGCTTGTTGGGGTCTATTTTGTCCAGACTTTTTTTCTGTTGGACTAACATGTTATTGACAAAAGCTTTAAGAGACACTTGATTGAGAGAGGACAGAACCATAGACAAGCGGAGAAAACCATAGACGCGTGGACAAAACCATAGACACGCGTTCAAGACTAGGGATGCACCGATCCGATACTGGTATCGATATCGGCGCCGATACCAGAAAAAATACTGGATCGGATATCTGCGTAGAGAGAGGCGCCGTGCTGCCAATCCATTTTCTTTTTTTGTTTTTTTTATTATTATTTTTTTTTAATACATACCAGGTACCGCACAATGTCTTAAAATACATTGTGCATAATGTACATATACGTATAAAATTAATTAATTAAAGGTAATTTATCAGATCTCACGTACTTCCTCGTGGCGCTCTACAACAACAACAACACAGCATGGAGCGCAGGAAAGAATCAGCGTTGTTCACACGGCGGTAAACTAGCGAAATACAACACGACTAAGCACCACGAGAAACAGCATGGGGAGTTTTTGCA